TCTTTGAATAGAAGGAAGAGACATTTTTTTTTTTTTGGTTGATCAATTAATGCTTATAAAAATAAAATGAAAATAAAATAAAAATATAAATATAATGAAAATATAATGAGCGAATGGTCAAAGAATTGGAAAAATGAAAAATATGGAATATAATTCAAAAAAAAATAAATTTCAGTCTATTTATTAAGTTAGTGGGAATTTTTTTTTTTGATAAAAAGTTAAATTTATGAATTTATATATTGAACAAATACAGTATAAAAAATTGTACTACTTTTGTAATACCTTAATTATTCCAATTAGGGCATATGACCGATTTACAAATATCAGTTAAATTACACATTCTTAATTTATATAAATTATAATAGAAAATAAATATTATGCATTCTTAGTATATTTATATGAAATATGAGTTTTTTCACTTTTAGATTCAAAGTTTTTAACATAGCATTTATTATTTAATAGATTTAAATACATCTTGATTTTATATTATAATTATAGAATAAAATATATTTAAATAAATACTATATTTTTAATATAGTTATTAAAAATAGATTTGAAACTCAGAGAATTGTTTTTGTTATTTATATAGCGATCCGTGGATTGTATCCGTGCGGATACACGGATATCCGGAATACAGATATATTTCAAAGATCATTTGCTGCACATTATATTTTATTTGTGCAGATTTATCTGGATTTACACTTTATCCGTTATCATCAATCATCTTATAATATCATGTGGATAATGTGCTAATAACAATTGTGATATAAATATCGAGTGGAGTCAAATCGGTTTTTGCTACTTTTTTTAATAGAATAAAGTTGATTATTAATTAATTATTAATCTGCAGTATCACAGATCATCGATTAAAGACAAAAACCTTCTTGATTATGGCCTCGATACCACGAGTAGTACAAGTAGTGCTTGGACTTCACAAGAATATCAGAATGCATACCAATGGTTATATTCTGATTCTTCAGAGTTAAGTGAATTAAACGATATTTGAAAATTTTGATTTTTAAATTTAATTAAATTTTTTATTAGTTCAATAAATTCTTTTTTTCTGCAATCAAGCCGTAGAAAAATTCCTCAGTATTTTGCAACATTCGGAAAAATAAAATATACAATTATGAGTTAAGATTATTATATTTCAGTTTATTAGTATGTTAACAATATTTCATTATTGAATATAAATTTTTATAAATATTTCTTTTGATTTGCTAATGGAATGATAGAAGAAATCTGTTGTACTCTATCCCTTAATTTGTAGAGCAGGAAAATTTGCTTGCTAACATAAATTATATTTATAAATATTTTAATAATATTTTAAATTTTGATTTTACCTATATATTTTATATATAAATAATATATTTCGATATATTCTTTATTAACTTTATTATGAAAGTTTTTTTTAAAATTAATAAAGAATTTTGAGTAATAAATTTATAAATTCTTTGTTCAAAAATTTTTATTATAAATTTTTCCAGAGTTTTTTAAAATTCTATTCCGATATAAAAAAGTCTAATACAAGTTTTAATTTTTACAATTAAATTATAAAAATTATAATAATAAAAATTGATATTTATTTCACAATCTATGATGTGATATTGTATTAAGAATAATATAATACTTAAAAAGTTCTATTAAGAAATTGTTAATTATTTTTTTAAATAAAAAATTTTTAAATATATATTTTTGATTTATTAATAATTTCAATTTTTTTATATAATTTACAAAAATATATTCTTTATTTTTTAAATATTATTGAAAAAATTTTCATTTAAATATCTTAAATATTTAAAAAAATGTATTAATGACAAATTTATAATATTTAAACAGGCAAAATTTACCTGCTAAAGTTTACAGAATAAGGGATAGGTTTTTACCTTGTGCTTGAAAGATTGGTAAATCTCTTAGATAAGTTTATACATAGATGAGAGCATTGCATTGTTCGAGCTAAAATATATATATATATATATATATTTAAAGTCGACCAAAATTGAAAATTTCCATGAAAATGATTTAACATAACATATAAAAATAAAATAAAATCAAATCGATCCTGAAATCGATTGTATTCCCAAAGAAAAATATATATATGAAATTTATCATAATTGGTTTCATTTTCGTGGTTTGTCGAGCACATGCATATTCCCTATCTTCACAAGGATTTTAAGTCTTTTTATAATTTTTTTCAAAAATCAATTATCTACGATCCAGTCTATTATTATTTTTTATTTTGAAACCTAAATAATGGTAGATTTTCTGATATACAAAATGCATATATATGATTATCATAAGATCCTAGCATTTAATCAATAAACGAAATAAAACAAATAATCGAAATTGTTGTAAAGAAAAAGTAACCCATTTTTTTCTTGACATTTTTTAAATTTCATTGTTCACAGTCGTATTGATCATTACTTTAACAGTCGTATTAACCATTCTAAATGCTTGGGCACGTTACACTTCGGAACATTGCGTTAATAGTCGATGCGTTTATTCGATCAGCGGAAAACTTTACAATTCTCGACTTATGCGGCAAAATTTATCACCTTATTCTTATGTAAGCTATTTCGTAAGTTTTTGTATGATTTCTTTTTAACCAATAAAAAATTTACATCCCTCAAATATTTAACAAATAAGGTAAAGCATAAACAAAAAATCTTAGTCATAACTTATGAAATATTACGCGGTGTATCACCAATTCATTCGTTCAAGTATGTTTCACACGCCAAATTGGCATTGTAATGGATAATATATTTGACCGCTAAGAATTCTTACGGTCGATTTTTAAGAACTTCATTGTAGCACTAATTCCTTTGAATTGTATTCTTATTATATTTTCGAACTTATTTAGAAACATTTCGCGCACAGACTGCGAACAGACGATGATCGGGTATAACATATCTAATAATAAAATAAATAAAATTTAGTTTTAGTTTTAGTTTTCAATGAAGATTAATGGAGATTCTTTTTATCAAAATTTGAGTAAAGCCCTGAATTTAATTATATTTATTAGTGAAAGTTGTAAAAGAAAGATATTTAAAGAAAACCTTTATTAATTTTTATTAATGTAGCAAAACCTAATTGGAATTATACTAATTATACGTATAATTCTATAAATTGATACAATGAAGCACATAAGTTGTACAACTTTTATACCGTATTTTATTCATTATACATTCATTAAAAAAAAAAAAAACATCCACTAAACTTAATAAATAGAAACAATACAGAAAATTCTCAATTTTTTTTTTGAATTATATTCTATATTTTTCATATTTTCCAATTCTTTGACCATTCACTCATTATATTTTATTTGATTTTTATAAACATTAATTGATCAACCAAAAAAAAAAAATGCCTCTTCCTTCTATTCAAAGG